GGAAAATGAGGATTATAAATTAACTAATTGATAAACAAATGTGGTTATTATATACGTTTTGCCAGAAACTGAAGAAACATAAAGAAATATGTTACGCCAGTGCTCTTCATTTTCCCATATTTTGGTTTGTATTTTTTCCGTGTTTTTGCTGTGAATTGACATTAAATATGGGGAAACATACAGGTTTTAGCACATGAACTGCATTGTTTGGAATTTAAAAAAAAAATGATCATGGGCAAACAAGTATAAAGCCTCAGATAACAAAATATAACACAAAATAATTCCTCAAACATGGAAACAGATAATTCTGTAGAAATCATTATTTAATTAAAAAATACTCCAGCTTATTGATCCATTGTACTCACAGAGAGTATCTTACAGAAGTTAAATATGCATAAAACAAGTAGATAAAGTAAGTAGAGTTACATGTGTGCAAAAGGTAAAGAATTAGAGATAAACAAACCTACAAAGGATATAACCACCATATCTTAACAAATAGGTGAGTCCTGGAGGGTGGGCGCGTCAAACCCCTGAGACCCCTGATTGTCCTGTAATCTGTTCTTGTCCTTGTCCATGGACTCAGTGATTGCTGTGTAGAAATCAGGCTGCAACTGTCTGAAACCTGTGGCACTGCAGTTTATGAGTCAAGTATTCACCTACTTATGAATGCATGTTAACTTGGTAATGTGCTGTTTTTCTATGCGTTGTCTTCTACACATTTATCAAATTCTGTTACCACTTGCTGCAACATGCAACATTTATTTGAGCCTTTACTGAAACACTTAAAGTTGGTTTGTGTTGTTGTTGTTTTTTAGTAGTTTTGCTCCTAAAGGTCTCATGCATGACGGTGCATATTTCCACAATCTTTGACTTTTTATAGTATTTTTGTACTCACTTAGTGTTTACCCGCCAACAGGAGCCCATTAAAACTACAGTGAAATCTTATTTGAACTGACATTTATCTGACTGACAGGAACACTGTGTTTTTTATGGACTGCACTTGGCACTACTGCGCAAACACTATAACCAATAAAGCTTACAGGTATCAACAATAGTTTAGCAACACAATTACATTACAGCGAGAGTAAACTCTTGAGTAGCCATTTATCATAACTGAGATAAACCAGCTATGTGTTTTCAGGCTCAATTAAGCAATAAAAACTCTTGATAAAAGTCTAACAGACTTCTTGCAAGGAAGGACATAGCTATAAAAACATATTGATCACTTAGTGAGGTTACTCAGCACTGTGTACTCATAACATAAGCTTGATAGCGTGCCTTTCATCAGTGACAACTCAAGCAGCTGTCAGATGTGAAGTGTAAGGAAGTGATAAAAAAAATGTTCTGACTTTAGTGTATTTTATCTGTTAGTGACAGGGAGGTGGTGTGGTTAAAGATTGACATTTCAGGTAACATTTGGAGGTGGTTGGAGGATAATAATTTACCTTCATGAGGACAAAAGGGATTAATAACTGCACCACGCTGAGGTTGAGGTTTTGCCTAATTACCCGATACATACTTTCTTTCTGGAGTAAAGACACAGATGATATAAACACTTTCATGACGCTTGTTTTTTTTCTTTTGGCTATACATTTTTGGCCGCACAGCTCTTGAGCAAAATACTGATACTGATACAAAGTACCATACATTTGTTGGATTTCTCTAAACTGTAAGTTTTATTGTCAAAAGTCGGCTGAATGTTCCCTGTTTGACATTGTTCTGGGTCACATCTGGGAGGCAACAGACTCAGAACTAAAGAGATAAACCAAACTGATTAAAAAATAGGTTCTTCCCTGTGGGAAATAGATTTCCCTGACTCAAAGCCTTAATCTTGTCAGATGGTCATGGCCAAATCTATATATATCACCATGGGCTAAGATCAATACCTGAACAAGGTCAAGATTTAAGGACTTGTGTTGGAGCTTTCTGTGTATGAAGGACAGAAATATAAAGTGTGTCAGGCTCACGTCAATAAAGCTTGCATGAGTAAACAACTTTATATTTGCAATATGGGTAAAGCATCTTTTTCTTTTACATATTATGTCAAAATCTACAAATACTTAAAGAGCTTCAATTATTTGTGACTAAGGCTTGATGACACCAAAATCTTTTGTTTAAACCGGAAAAGGAACATGAGCATTAAAGGACAGAAAGGCTCTTTTAAGATTAATATCCAGTGACTAAAATGATGAGTGATGATAAGTATTAAGTATTAAGTATTAAGATGATTAATGGTAATATATAAAATGTAGTCAAAGTTGAGTAAAATGTATATGCATTTAACAACACAACAAATGCTGTGGATATAGTTTTCTTAAATCTGGAGACACATTTAAGAAAAAGCAGCAACATGTGATTTTTTAGATATATATCTCAAGAATGCAGTGAGGAGAGAGACCAGCTCAGGTACCCATCAAACCTGTCCTGCATAAGGACTAAAAGGAGGCTTTAGATGGTTTAACAGGAAACAAAATATAAGCAGCATAACAAGCCAAACTCTTTAAAATAGAGAAAACCAAACGGTTTAGCTCAAAATCTAGGCAAAACAGCAGCTACTGATAAAAGTAAAAGACAAATAGGAGTTGTTAGAGAATGTTCTGGTTCGTGAGATATACATCAATTGCCACCCATTTTGCTTGAACAGATTACAAAGATTAGCTGGCTGGTATTCTAGGCAGGGCCAGCAATTCACTTCTGGATATAGATGGGGAAAACATATGTGTAAGAACTGAAGCACTAATGTTCATTGTACAAAAGTTAAACAATGAACAATTCCATGTTCAGCACTGACAAATGCAGGGTGCCCTAACAAATCAAAACAACATTAAAATGCTCGGATAGATACATAGAACAAACAATAAAAATGCAAGATCCAACAACTCTGAACCATTCACCTAACACAAGCAAGAGTACAACTTGTAATTTCTATAAATACAATAAACTTAATTTGCTCCTGGGTTTGTTCTGAGCCCTCTTACTGTATTAAATTTACAGATTAAAACATTTAAAGGAATGTTTGACTATATTGTATTGACCTTGCATGTTGTAATGTTTGGTTTGTGTTGTGTTGAATAATGGAATTTAAATTTGTCTCTATAGTTTCTATAACCGTTAAAATGTTACCTAGAGTAATCACAACTGTAATTTATGCAGTAGCTCAAATACTTCCACACTGAATGTCAAACTATTTATAAGGTCTTATTCAGTGTTGGAGTATTTTTTAACAGAACAAGCTGAATGACAGAAATCCTCTTCATGATTACATGTGGCTATATTGTAGAGATTAATGTATTTATTGAGAACGTTTAGCACAACTGATTTGGACAGTGTCCAGTCTGTAATGGAAATTCTGGTAAATAATCAACCGGTAAGAAACTCGTTCTCTTCTCATTTTTCACACCAAGAGCCGGGCACTACTCAAGTCATTCGCTTCAGACAGCCCGAGGCTCAGATTGACCGAGGCTGCTTGCTCAAACATGAAGGGTTCAGCTTAACAAACAAGTCTGAAAGCCTTTTACATTTTAGCCACATGTAATGAGTAAAATGCTGTCCCTCCTTCCCATGAGTACACTGTCAAGTTATTCAACTTTAACTTGACAGCATCCTAACATGCATATTCTATCTAATCTCTGTCTTTCTACAGGATCCTGAAAGGCAGCCTTGGTCATAATGAGCACAGAAAGGGGCGAGCAGGACATAATTGATACCCACTACACTACAATCCACACACTGGGCAGGCAAAATGAGGGCAGGCGGCTACGCTACATGAACAAAGATGGCAGGTTCCCTGTGGTTTTCCAGAAAACCCCTGGAAACTGGAGCCCATACCTGATAGACATATTCACCACTCTTGTGGAAACCCGCTGGAGGGTGATGTTCCTTATTTTTTCCCTCTCTTACATTCTCTCTTGGCTCTTTTTCGGCCTGTGTTATTGGCTCATTGCATATGTACACGGAGACGTTGACAATGTAGATAATGAACCCTGTGTGGCCAATGTGCGTGGCTTTACAGGAGCCTTTATGTTCTCAATGGAGACCCAGGCAACTATTGGCTATGGCTTTAGGGGGATGACTGAGAACTGCATCGTGGCCATTATTGTAGTGACGATTCAAGATGTATGCAGCTGCCTCCTTGACACCATTATTATTGGTATTGTTCTTTGTAAAATGGCATCTGCTCGTAAAAGAGCTCAGACGGTGGGTTTCAGCAGCTGTGCAGTGGTCAACCAGCGAGACGGGGCTCTGTGTCTGTCATGGCGACTTGGGGACTTCAGAGGTAATCACATGCTGGAGGGTGTTGCCAGGGCCGTGTTAGTCCGTTATGTGAAACAGCCACTGGGGTCTATTGTGATGTCATACCAGGACCTGGAAATCCAGAATCGAGACATTGTCCTCGCCACACCAGCCACCATTATTCACAAGCTGGAGCCTGGCAGTCCCCTCTACAGCCTGGGCCCTGATGACCTGCTGGAGGACAACTTTGAGCTGGTGGTGTCTTTCACCTACACAGGTGACTCTACAGGTATGCTCCACCAGACACGAACCTGCTACACCTCAGCAGATATCCGTTGGGGTCAACGCTTCCAGGACATGCTGAAAGTGGGCAAGAGGCGCTACAAGGTGGACTATGCTCTGTTCAACGTGACCATGTGGGTGCCGGTGCCACTGCTTAGTGCAGAGGAGTGTGACAGGGGGAGATGTCCTGTAGAGGGTCCACAGTCCCAAAATCCACTTTTTCCATCAGTCAAGAGAAACGGACACACTCGCCAGGTGAATCCTAATGTCACTGGAGAGGTGATGCAGCAAACCTGTTTGTAGCTTAAACAACCAGAAAAATATACATTATAATACAAGGTGGATTTATCCAATAATACCAGTTAGGGGGGATGTGATAGGATGGGATATATAATAATAATAAGGTGTGCTCTTGTAAATATATTTATATGTGACTTTATATCCAGTGTTGATGTTTTTTTTATGCTTCAGATGAATAAAATCAATTACCACAAATGTTCTGACCTTGTAAAACTCTGAAACATGAATTACAGTAACAACACCAATCACATGATGCCAGCACTTCAGTGAGTCCTCTTTGCAGCTCTACACCGCCACCTTGTGTTCACTGAGTACACTCACCATCACTCCAGCACTGGTGATTATTTTGGAGAGTCCTAGATTTCACAGTCAAAGTAGGTCTACTCCTCACTGCCCAGTAGGCTGTATTTGCTTGATTCTTAAAGAGAACAGGAAAACGCTAGACATATGAACACCAATTATAATTAATTAACTATGGTAGTTTCCAGCGACTCTGGAGATGTTTTTCACCCCTGTTTCAAGTTTAAGCGTCAGGTTTTCAGCGTCCCTTTGAGAAAACGGTTCTTTAACTCCACTCACAGATAATGTAAACCCTCTGTGCGGGCTCAGACCCTCAAACAGGCGCTGCAGCTTCCTATTGGCCGCCGATGCGACAGGGGCGGGGTTAGGCACACGTGTTTTTAAAGTCTGTCTTTGCAACGACAAACATCTTCTTCAGTATTGCTGGAGAGGGTTATGGCAGAATTTGCAGTGCCAGGTGGGAAACTAAGTGAACACAACAAAAGAGCAGCAAGAATCAAAAAGGACGCAGTGTGCATATCTGGCGCATATGGGACTTTTTACACCAAAGGCACGGCAGATTTGCGCTGCAAGGACCAACAGGTAGGTGTAATAAGCGGGACAGATTTATCTCTAATTCTGATAGTGATGTGGAGGGAAGAAATATACCTGCACTCTGCAAAAATCTGATGTTTAATCTCACAGCAAAATGCTAAAACTCATGTCCTGTAATAAGAAATGAATTTCAACATCTCAAATCTTAGTATTCCGTTTTATTATTATTATTATTATTATTATTATTATTGTAATACATTGCCTTTTTCATGCATCTGTCATTGGAGATTGCAGGCTATGGATAATCTGCCCTGTCCTTGATCTTATCTAAACTCTAGCTCATGATGTCTGTGCATGGTTGAATTTTGTAACACTATACTGTAGAGTAAAAATGATTAAATATGAATAAACAAATAAATAAAAACAATATGTGACATTACTGTTTTGAGTGTTGTGAAAGCATATAACAAAATATAGCATTTGCTGAATGACCGGCCATAGTTATTGATTTGTGTAATGATAAATAGAGCAGCTTTATGTAACCAGTTTCCATCTGCCTCAGCTGTTGGCTCTAATTGAAACCACATGCAAAACAAACAATCACAGGTTGTGCAGCCTCTGGAAGCCTTGGTCTGTCACCATGTACCAACCTGCAGTAATAAGTGATGTGATATAGTGAGCAGGTGAAAGCTCAGTGAGAAGGAACCCAAAAAAATGTCACAGAGGAGAGAGAGGGACCACAGTTTGTGCTTAATGTCAGTGCATCAGCACCACACAAGTTAGAGATCTGATCCGCGCTGTGGGTCACCTATGTTAAAAAATGTACTACACTTCCCCAGTCATGTAGTCTAAACTATGTGCAGCCAAAATACTAAAAAATAAAAGAGATGACTGAATGACTAGCATGTACATGTGGATATTGTGCATGTAATAAGGACATGGTCTAAGTTTACTGTGGCAAAGTCTGTTTCACAAAAAATTTTAAGAAAAAAAGTTTATCTCACATAAAAATGTAGCTCTTAATGGATGGGTGCAACATCATCATATATAAATTCCTAAAATCCAATAAGAAAGAATTCTGGCACGCTCTGACCTGTGAATGAATGGAGCCCTATATTCCCAGTAGTGTGCGTGACAGGTTTCTATTTCTAGTCCAGCCAGCAGTGACATCATTTGTTGAGAAAAACAAAGACGATGCAGGGTGATTTAGGACCACTTCCTGCACATCTCATCCCACATGACTATTGATCACTTTCAGAACAGTTTTATATACACTAAATTAGGTGATGGAATAAAAATGAGCTGTGTCAACAGAAATCAACCAAAGTTTATTCAGAAAATGTACTGAAAATGGCCGCTAACTTTATTCTACACTTTGTCGCATACAGTTGTGATCCACAGATAAGACACAGTCAAAAGTGGAGTTGGGGAGTTATTTTGGCACTAGCAGAGTATGTCTGGCTGACCATGGCCTTTTGTAGCCTGTGGTGTTGCATTTTAATGGACCTTTCAGGCCACACACACCAAGTCAATAGCTTTTCTAATTTAGCTGTCCTTGTTGCTCTATTACATATGACGCAAGGTTACTGTTGCTTTCAGAGAAAGGGACACATCCTCTCTGAAAAGCTGCAATGCTCATTAGATATTGTTACATGATGTAGTGGTGCAAACTATAGTTGTGAATTCGTTTTGGCTATGCATATGTACATGTTATTAAAACGGTGTACTCAATAACTGAGATTTAATAACATTAAATGCAATAATTTATATTATTAAATGCATGCAACATGATTTAACTTATGCATTGTTTTCTCACATATGTCTGTGTATGTCTAGTTTAGAGACACATCTGCACAGAGCTGCTACTTGTATCCTTGCTCTAGCAGCTCACTGGATTTACATGAACTTGATCTGTAATTTGACTCAGCTCCTCATGGACTGACCTGCCTAATTAATACTTACATTAAGCAGGGTAAACATCCTTTCCCACTTTGTCAGCTATCTAAGTGCTTGAATAATATTTTTAATGTACCACTGATAATGCATGCACAATGCATTCCCTGTGCTTTCTAACTGCACTGCATACACTACACTGTTTGTATATTGTCTGTGCATGCAAGAATAGTGCTGCAAACTTGGAGTGTACACTGCATTATTTAGACAGCAGGTAACCACACACCCACAAACACTGATCTTTGCTCTGGTTCCTGCCAATTACTTTAAAACTGTTACTCTCTCTGTAATTTCCACAGCCCACTTCATTGATGAGGTCCAAAGCAGCCGTCAGAGAGGAGTGACCTGCCCTCACCAACGGTGCACAGCACGCCTGCAGAAGCATAGGCCCGATCGCCGCTGTTCCCTGCAGGATCTATTCCTGTTGTCACCATTTTCTGCTTGAGTTTGTCCCCAGGATCATTTAAAACTGTTTCTCCAACGCTTCTACCAAAAACTTAGACTGTTTTCCAAAGCAGAATCGGCCCAGCCCTCCCAGGTGGAAGTAATGGGGAGTGTGCGAAGCCACCGTTACAGCATTGTGTCCTCTGAGGAAGACGGCATGAAGCTGGCCACTATTGCCGTCCCGAATGGCTACGGAAATGGCAATGTGAACAAGGTGCACACAGAGCACCAACAGCAGAGCCGCTTTGTCAGTAAGGATGGCCACTGCAATGTGCAGTTTATCAATATGAGTGAGAAAGGCCAGCGGTACCTGGCAGATATCTTCACCACCTGTGTGGACATCCGCTGGCGCTGGATGCTGCTCATATTCTGCCTCTCTTTCCTGCTGTCATGGTTGTTTTTCGGCTTGGTCTTTTGGGTAGTGGCCCTCTGTTACGGGGACTTAGAGAATGAGACTCAGATGTGTGTTTCCAATGTGGACAGCTTCACCGCTGCCTTCTTGTTCTCAGTGGAGACCCAAACCACTATTGGCTATGGTTATCGTTATGTGACAGAGGAGTGCCCCGTTGCTGTCTTCATGGTCGTCTTCCAGAGCATTGTGGGCTGCATCATCGATGCTTTCATCATCGGTGCTGTCATGGCCAAGATGGCCAAGCCCAAAAAGAGGAATGAGACCCTGGTGTTCAGCCATTATGCTACAGTGGCCATGAGGGATGGTAAACATTGCCTAATGTGGCGTGTGGGGAACCTGAGGAAGAGTCACCTGGTGGAGGCCCACGTCAGGGCCCAGCTGCTCAAGTCCCGCACCACCGCCGAGGGTGAGTTCATCCCTCTGGATCAGGTAGACATTGACGTAGGATTCGATAGTGGCATTGACAGAATCTTCCTGGTGTCTCCAATCACCATTGTGCATGAGATTGACGAGGACAGCCCATTCTATGAGATGAGCAAACAGGAGTTAGAGACGTCCGAATTTGAAATCGTGGTGATTCTGGAGGGCATGGTCGAGGCTACAGCCATGACCACTCAGTGTCGGAGCTCCTACGTGGCCAGCGAGATCCTCTGGGGCCACCGCTTCGAGCCTGTGCTCTTTGAGGAAAAGAACTACTACAAAGTGGACTACTCTCGCTTTGACAACACATACGAGGTGCCTAGCACGCCAACCTGCAGTGCCAGGGAATTAGCCGAGAAGAAGTCCAACGCATCCAGCTCGAGGAACTCCTTTTGTTACGAGAACGAGGTGGCTCTCGAAAAAGTCGAGATGGAGGAGGAGTTTGAGGAAGAGGAAAACAGGGAGATGAGGGATGTTGAGGTTGGTGCACTTGAGGACATAAACACGGATGTGGTGTCAGACTCTGAATGCAATCTGGACTCTTTGCCTTTAGAATCAAGGCCTTTGACAGCAGAATCAGAAATATGACCACAGAGTTAAAGAAAGGTTAAAAAGCACAGGATATGTTAAAACTAGCTTGAATTTGGTCCTGATTGCTGTTCCTATAATGCAAGACAGTTTGTAAAAGACTGTGATTTGAGTATAAAGTTCTCTATGCAGAAGCTCACGCACAGGACACCATGGAAATTATTACTTTGTTGTTACTTGTATTCACTTATGGTGAAAGTGATGATAAATTCATGGGTTGCATTGAGCTAGAGGGATAAAATGGCTTAGATGCCTTTACTTAAACACTGTGCAGTCTCTCCTCCTTAAAATATTTTGGTTAAGAAGCATAAGTTTTCTAGAAAAAAGCAGTTTCTCATTTATTAGTGCAAATTCCAAATTTGGACATTTTGCATTTAGCATCTTGAGTCTAATATGTGTTTTTTGTGGCCTGAATTTGATATAAGATTGTGACAAAAAAGATTTGAACCTGAAACTTTGAGATTTGTTTAAATTTATATATTCTTATATAATAGATATAATATGTAATTTTAAGTTTGAGAATCTTGTTTTAAATGCTAAAAACTATTTTAAATCCATTAATCCACCTGCACAGAGGCTACTGTTTGTTAATGAGCTGGTCTCTTAGCAAAGAATATTTACAATCTTCTTCATTGTTGTGGGCTCGGTGTTGCTCTGCGTGAGGCAGGAAAGAGATGTCTTACAGAGATTGCGAGCACTACACTATGCTCCTCAACCTATCATCTTGTCTAAGTATAGCATCTTCTGCAGTGTGCGCCTTGACAAAAGTCTCAGTCTTGGTGGAGGTTTGACTGCGACTGAGCACACACTGCAATAGATGTTACAGGAAAAAGAAGCATTCAGAGGTGATTCACTGTGCAGTATACTGCCACTCCCTTGCAGGTCTTCATGTTCTAATGTGCAATACAGGTCAGTGGTAGAAGGTGACAGGAAGCTCAACCCTGAGCCGAGGTTATGAATGTTGATGATAAGTGCTGCTAAGTTACATATTGTATGTTTAGAGAGAAATCTAGGAGCCAAAATGTATTATTTGTCTTTTAAAGTATCCATTTTGAAGATTGCAGATGCAGCCTATAATGTCATTTCTAGATGTAGACAAGCATGATTCTGTCAGTGTGTTTTCCAAAGCTTTAGTGCACTTTTTCCCCCCATAACATCAGAAACTGTTTTATTACCCAAAGCCAAATGTGTACATATATAAGAGACAACCGTAACTCATCTGTTAGTTGATGTTGATTTTAAACCTGAACTTTTCCTCATCTAACAGCGGTTGGCTGTTGAAACATTGAATTATTTGAGTTGCTTTTGACATAGGCATTATATTAACATCAGTGTTCTTGGCATGGCAGACTTGCAGAATCTGGACAAATCCCTGTTCACCCTCACACGTCACCACCACGGGTCTTGTGAAGTTATTTGTCATTTCTGAATGCGCCCTTGCTTTGTCTTTATAAAGATCAGGTCTGCTGATACATTTCAGTTACAATCAAAAATCCTGAACGGATATAGCACACTTGACTCCAGTCTTACACAAGATTGAGCTTTAATGGGTTTTTTTTAACTACTACTTTAGGTGTAGAAACATTAATGCTTGCATAAATAACATCAGTGGAAGCCTGAACACTGTACTGCTTCTCTGGTAAGGAAATCTATTAAAACATTTGATCGGTTCTCATATTGACACTTCTTCTGTCTTAGGTCTTTATTTTTCTACCAGAGTCTTCCCACCTTCCTGCACAAACCAGAGACTGTACAGATTTTTTTTATTTTTTGTAAATTATAAGGCAAATACTGTATATTGATATTGCAGTTGTTGAAAACTGTTTATGTCCTTTTTTTTGAATAAAAGCTTAAAAAAATCATTATGAAGTTGATGCATTGATTGTAAACAGCAAATCAGTTAGATGGACAAAACTGTGATTGTATGACCTTTTATGTTTGCATTTGTAGTCTACTGTGCAATCATTTTCTCAAAGATTAGCATTTTGACCCAAAATGTGTGACATCTGGAGCTAGTGTGCAGAGGCCTGCTTGACTCTTTTAGCTGTGGATACACATGCTGCTCCTCTAATTTGGAGCTGTGGCCCAAATTCCAGGCTGCTAGCTGTCAGAGCTCACACCATCATTTACTATAATTCACCAAACTGACTCACTCCAGTTCTGTGAAAGCCCACAGAGACCCCGTGCTATATCAGTCGGCTCTGCTGGAAGTCATTTTCAATGACAGCGATGGAAAGAACGCCTCATTCGTCTTTCCTAATCTATTTCAGTAAACTGTGGAAAATAAGTGTATTCTGGACTACAGGGTGTCTTTAGGGATGGTGTTAATGTGTAGAATTAGCAGGAGGATATATCGCACAATTCATATTCCTCAAACCACAGAGTTTAAATGAACAAAAGTATGATCGGCTGTTTATTCATCCACATTTGCACTCTTGCTTTCAGAGATTTTCAGTGGAAATGAGGATTATGTTTAGTGTGATCTGTTTACAAAACCACATGGATGCCCAGATTGCATAACACACCGATACTCCAGAGAGGATCCCAACACCCACCAGCTCCTCTAATTTAGCATAAGCATGCATAAAACACTATTAAGCAGCGTGTGATCAATATGGTTGTATCAGAGATGAACTTGGGGTTGCAGTATGACACATCTTTCTGCAGATTTAGTTTGTTTCCATCCGCAGCTGCATTCTGCCAGCATGAGACGTAGTCGGGGAGCTATTGATCAGACTCGTCCGCAGGAAGGCAGTGAGCCGATGTGATTTGGTTCTACATATAGGAAGTGGGTGCTGCCTCGGGCCTTTTTCCACATTAGCCAATGAAACTGCCACAAAGCTCCGGCTTGGAGTCAAAATAGGGACTGTCCCTTTTCCTTTTAGAAAATAAATTTCAGTCTCTCATTGTCTTAATTGTAACGGTCATGATGTTTTACTGCTTTTATATGGCTCTCCTCCTCTTCTCTCCTAAGTCTTGGGGGGTGGTTTCTTCTTCTTTCTTCTTTCTTTAGTTCCAGCTTCATTTCAAAATGTCACAGTTAAATTCTTGAAACCTCTTTGATGACATTTAACCGAACATTATGGTGACTGTTCAGTCCGTGCTGTGCACTGTTTCAAATGAATTGACAGCCATCATTGGCCAGAGAGCTCCTGTCGATGATGCCTTTGACGTCTCTCTGGCGGAATCCCATGAACAGGCTTATTAACAACAGGCTGATCAGCTTGACCTTCAGATTAGATGGGTTAATATAAACATAAACAATCAATCAGCAGAGGAAAGTAACACAAGATAAGGTATTTGATTTATCTGTTCAATGTTAAATCAGGTAACAGCTGTTGGTAGACATATTCCATGCTCCAGACCTCAGCATGAACTGATGAAACATAAAGATATGAGCACTGGAAATGTAGCATTTGTCCTCTTGTTACCCCTTAGAAACACAGCTGCTTTATCTCAGTGGCTGTTATTTAGAGACAGTTTATACACATAATTTTAGAGAGTGTTAAAATCACAGGCATATTTATCGCTCAGGAGGAAGTGTATATAGTCTGGACAAAGTCTTTCCCTAACATATATAGAAAGGGTATTATATCAGAAAAAATATCTGATTCTGACTTTATGTGGGGCACATCCACAGCCTGCAACTTTATAAATAGCTGTAGCTGTATGTGTTTGGCCTAAATTCATGTCTTGTGTGTCCTTCTGAGGTCAACAGGCACCACTGACATTAATACTTTATATCGAAGTAAAATAAGAAAAAGAAAAAAATAAGTTTCTTCTTAATTATGAACAAAGTAAATCCAAGAAAGAAACCTCCATCCAGTCAACAACAAAGAGAGTAAGATAAAAAAAGAGTGCAACATCTGACAGATGTGACGTCTCTGTTACACTCAGCTACTCCATTTTGTGCTACTTTCAAGAAAGCAGTGCGATAATGTTGACAGTAAAGTAAAGCGGTAGTGTAGCAGTGACGTCCACAAAGTGTAACCATTCAGTCAAAATGACTTATTGCTTCAACAAGTCTGGAAGTGGGACAGAACCTGCAGACAGCAAACTCTAACAGAATGAAAGCTAATACAAGTCTGAGGGATGTGCTTGAGGGGCTTCGACCTTAGATTTGACAAGCATAACTCATGCAACATGTTGTCTTCATAGTGAGGCTGTAATTAACGGCCTGCTGAAACCTGTGATCTACAATATAGAATTTTTTTCTTCTCTATGTGTCTTTAAAAAGTACAGTTTAGTGTTTCATGATATCCCACACTGTTTACTTTTCTCATGGCTCTTTTTTGTAATGTGCATATTGAGTGTCAGGTGTTTTTGTAGATGTTACCCCATGCCTTTACACAATAATTAAGGTACAGTAATACCAGTGAACAATACAGAGTGTGCAATGCTTCATGGTCCAGAATGTGCCTTGTTTTTCCCAGAACTGCAACAGATCTTGCCAACTTTGCTATCACACCCATAAGTTTATTGTCACTCTTTCTATTTAAACATTGTCTGCTATTATTTTTATGTGCGTGTTTATTTATAAATACAGCATAAGCATGGTTTTGTTGAAGTTTAATGATAATTTGTTTGCTTCAAACACCATTTTAATTTACTCATTTCAGTTGTAACCACCTCACAAAGCTACTACAAATCCTGCCCAGAATAAATATACAGTAGTCAGGTCACTCAGACTGTAATGCAATTATAAGTTGTTTTATTGATTTTCAGCATTGTCATCTGTGGCCTTGCCCCTTCACTGGCATGAAATAAAAAAAAAACCTTCCTAGAGTGTGATGGGATTAAATTAGGTAATTATATAATTCTGATGGCATAGCAATTGCATAAGACCTTTGGTGTGGCTGACGCTGCAGGGGAGACCTGCTGTCTCATGCAGCCAGCTAGCCTGTCAATGATGGCAGCGGGCTGACTGCATTTTTGAAATTCTTGATTTTTGATTGTAAAAGCCTTTTACAGAGGCTTAGAAAATATCAAACTACCTTTTATTGTAAACCTACATACAGTAATTCTGTGCAGTTGATATTCAGCTAATTCAAATGAGCTTATGGAGCCTGGTTTGTCTTTTAGACTTTAGAATACACAGATACACTAGACCCGGAAAGGTTTACAGTTAACTTTAAACAAGACTGGCGTGTCAGATAACAGATGAACGTGTTTCATCAAACAGCCAACAGCTGACACACTTGCCAGAACCTTCTGCTGCTGCTGCTGCTGCATGTGTGTGTGTGTGTATGCGGGTGAATGAGTAAAGGGGATTCCTGGCTAGGGACAGTGAAAACCCCTGTAGTGATCTGCTTCCTCTCATCATACCAGGGTATTCCAATTATTTTTAGTGTCATGTGGGGTTTTAATTTTGCACTTTAAATTCATTTTATATGTGATTTATTTTTGAATACTTTACGTTTGACAGGAAAAGACAAAATATTAATATTGTTTTTCTCAAAACAAATTTGAGCCACTTTATAAACTATTATCTCTCTCTTGCTCAGTTTTGCTCACCTGTTTTTCCCTGGTTACATTTAGTTAGAATTTCAACAATTTCTGAACTATTATAACCTTACACATACAGACACATACACTTTCTCTCTCTCTCACACACACCTGCTGGCACTCATTTTGGCTCTATCTTTGACAGCTGAGTGTCTCATGACACTCAGGGGAGGAATAGGAGATTCAAGCAGTTACAATATGTTGGATTAGATTCAAACTTTTTCCATTCCCTGGGCCTGCTGTATATTTATTCACAGTGGGTGTGTCTGGTCACACAAGTAGAAACAAAAAGGCACTGGGCACACAGAAGCTTATGATGCAGTCGTGTGTGTTTGTGTTAGGTTATTGCTTTTCTTCCATGCTTTGCTTTTCCTTTTTAATGCAACTACATCTACTTTTTTGTCATTGTCTGAGATTATGGTGACTGCGCATTGTCGTCAGGGCAGAATACATTCACAGTCTTACAATTGCGTTGCCATATCTCCGTCAGTAACTGCTCGTCTATTCATGCCACTGACCTTTATGCTTCTGGCTCTGGCTCCTCTGACCTTGACAAATACTCCCAGAGCCAGGAAACAAAAGCGATACCTACTTTATGCTCATTGTTGGCTCTTGACCAGTGGCACCTTGTACTGAGAGAACTTGGCTCCGTGTGGTGTGGCACTTTGTTGCCTATAATGGAGGTGCATCAGCGATTGAGCCACAACAGTAAACACAAAGCCTCTCTGACCTCCATTTATCATGTCTGCTTCCATCATAACAAACCCTGCTGGCAATGTGAATCCAGCTGCAGAAAAAAGCTTTTACTGAGTTGATAAATCTATATCTATATTGATATCTACACCTATATCTATATCTATATCTACAGTATATCTATATCTATTTATTTCACTCTTCGATTTCTAAGATTCCTTTATATTCAGTCCGTGGTTATCCTGCCAGGATCTTTACCAAGTCTCGCCACAAAACAACAAACTCTTAAACTCAGTGAATGACCCCGGAAAGTGACAATGGAATAAAATAAGAATATAAAAAAGCATTGACAATTTCAAGGATGGAGAATTTAAAGGACAGGGGACACTTGAGAAGCACTTGTTTATGAGCACAGCTGAGGAGAGATGGATACCTCTGAACTGTATCCAGCCCTTGAGTGATAAAGGTTACCACCAAACTGGTCTTGCCAGCTCGCAACTATGTTCATACACTGACAACCACGAACTGTCACTCTTATGTCCTAGACAGTGATGATGGCCAAAAAGCCATATGCTGGCTATAATATAATCAAAGAATAGTTTCTTTTCCACCACATAGATTACCTTCTTAAAAACTTTCTATATTCAGGCAAGGTCA